ACAATGAAACAAGTGTCACAGCAACACAATGCAAGCCCATATACACGTCCATCTTTCCATTTCACATACAACAAGGTTCTATTATCTAAATCAGGGGTGTCAAACTCGCGGCCCATGGGCTGAATGCGTCACACGCTGGCCACGCCCACCCCCAGTTTAGCAAAGGGGGAAAGTCACAATACATCATGTGACAACGACGTGACGATGCAAGTTTGACACCCCTGATCTAAATGTAGAAACTGTACCTTAATTCCTGGATCCCCAGCATGGTACTCTCATGTAGGGTGAGAGTTTGCTACATGGTATGGGGCCAGGTTATTTGTAGGACTAATTATCTCTATCTGCCCCATGCAGAAACAAGCTGAGGGCCTTGTTAGTTTTTTAAAAAATAGCATCTTTCTGGACCCGGAAAGTATATTCTTTTTGGTACAGTGTTCCTTTGGAACAACATTTCCCCCGTGTTTCAAACACCCCAACTCTGCTACATTTTCTCAAAGCCTTGAAAACCTGGATCTGTTCCCAAAAATGGGGTTCAAGCTGTTACTTATAACTTATTAAGTTGTTCACTTGTGGCAAATTGGTGTACCGCAGTTGCTGTTTTATGTTGTCTGTATTTGTATTTTAAATGTTGTTAGATGTGCAGAATTCTTAAGATGAAAGAGGTGGCCGTATAAATAGAATTAATAAAATAAAAATTAAATGAATTAACCATGCTGTGACTTTCCATAAGACCCTCTCCAAATTACAAATGTTTCCACTGGCCCAGTTACAGCATAAGGCAATAAAATCGTACATCTCAAGTACAGCAGTTAAGTAAATATATTGCCTTTAATTCTTATGTGCAACATCTGCTATTCACAGAGACATTGTCAATGGCCTTTAGAGATTCTTTTAGCAGCACAGGGCAAGGCATTGAAACCATGATTTCCTGTATTTCTTGAATTCCCTGGAAAGAAAAAGTTTTTCCAACTTGGAGATTCTCCCCTCCCCCCGCCCCTTCATCTCAGGATGTTCTAGGGCAGTGATGGCTAACCTTTTTGCCATCGCGTGCCAAAAACGGGGGGAAGTGTGGGGGTCACATGCATGTGTGCCCACACCCATAATTCAATGCTCCCCATGCCCACCCCCTCCACATGAGCACATGAACCCCCACGTTCCCCTGCACATGCACACATAACCCCCCTACACTCCCCCGCACAAACACGCATGACCCCCCTGCGCCGGTTTTGGGATTAGCAAGCCTATCTGAAGCCTCCAGAGGGTGAAAATGGCCTCCCCCACCCCCCTGGAGGCCCTCCAGAGGCCAGAAATGGCCTGTTTCCTGACTTCCTGTGGGCCAGGTAGGCCCATTTTTCACCTTCCCCAGGTTCCAGAAGCTTTCCTGGAGCCTGGGGAGGGCGAAAACGGCCTCCCCCACCCACCCCGGAGGCCATTCGGAGGCTGAAAATGCCCTCCCAGAGCCTCCGCGTAAGCCCTGAACTTACCTGGCATCCTAAACAGGCCACATGGAAACTCCTAAGAGGGGAGGTGTGGGCGGGACTAGCTGAAAATCAGATGGCCAGCATGTGCATGCACGCTGGAGCTGAACTAGGGCAACGGCTCGCGTGCCCGAAGATATGGCTCCCATGCCACCTGTGGCATGCGTGCCATAGGTTTGTCATCACGGCTCTAGGGAAAACAGGTTTAAGTCCATCTTCAGCCACAGAATCTCATAGATGATTTTGGGCTCTCTGTCTAGCCAAATTCACAGGATTGTTGTTGTGGGATGAAATGAGAATAGATGCTTCATGAGCAAAAGCCTGGATGGAATGTTGTCATTGTCAAACCATACCAGTTAGGGGAAAAGTTTCCACTTTTCTGTGTCTTGCATTTCCTACATGCTGGCCCACAGTTGACTTGTACCTTAAGATGGAGCAAATTCATTTCCACCCAGATCTATCTGTAAGTCTGTGGGGTTCTTCAAAGTGTCACAGAGTCTGTGCTGTGCTTGCCACTAACAAGGTCGGCATTAAACTGCAGCCATGTGTCACAGTTTGCAATCCATTGGATTTGAGCTGCCAGCAGCAGCTGATCTGATTGATACACGGATGAGTTAAGAGACAGGATTTTGGGCCGGCTGTAATGCTCATGGAACAGCATACTCAAGCTATACTCCCAGGCTCCAAATGAGATGGCCTTTTGCTGTGAAGGCAAAAGTGGCAGCAACTCAAGTTAATGTGGGAAAAGGTCAAGAGGAGAATAATTCACTTTCACCTTGCTACAGAGGAAGAGCTGCAGTAAAAGCTGCCCATTTATTGGTGAGATTATATATAAACACGAAGTTCATATCTTCAGCTACCACCTCAGGCTGCCATCCAGGCTGAGCTGTTGTCATCACCTACCTAATCAAGTGGCGGATTACCTGGCCTTGATAAATTGAAGAAGCAGCTACGGGATTGCAAGGAGGAGGGAGAGAGAAAGGGGTTATGTCAAATAGTTTGCTAGCCTGGAGCAGCTAATATGGGAGCAGATGTCTGGACCAAGTCTCTAAGCTTGTAGTCTGCAGCACCATGGAATGGTTTGTAGAGAACAGCATAAATGTCTTCGAAGGAAGATATCCATAAAGAGCACCCTGTTAGGAATGATATATTAGAGGCCATGGGACAAAGGGAAAAGGAGATGATATAACTGGCATTGTTTTAGAAAGGAATTCCCAAACTCTGTATAATAGGCTTCAACCCATTTGAGTTAGAAGGAACCGTTTATGTGAACTGTTCTGATAAGCAATATCCTTTCCGTGAAGGAACACGGCACACGTCTAAAGCCAAACCCAGTTATTGCATTGTTGTTCATCCTTTGTGAGTTGATTATAGGCAGCTTGCTCAGGGTATATTAATTTTTCCTCTTGAAATCCTACTGAGCGGAACATCAGCATTTCCTAAGCGCACAAGTGTGTGGAAAGGTTTTTGACGAAGCAAGTGGCAAGGCTAGACAATTCTTGTTCCAATAAATAAATCAGGCATTTTGTTTTATTGGAGAAGTCCAGTCTGATAAGGTAAAAATCCAGCTGTAAAATAACTACACCGGGGTAGTGTAATATATAATCATCGATATAATGCTGAGGGATGATGGGGAAAAATTGGATTCTGGACATAACTAGATTTGATAGAAACACTATTATAATCCTGCCAAAATAAATTCCGTTTTTGCTCCTGGAATCAGTAGAATTTATCAGTGCTTAAGCACAGCTGGACTGTGCCTTTGATTTCATGAAAGTTTTTTATTGTCAGAAATCCAAGAACCAAGTAAAATAGAATCTGAACCCAAGTAATTCAGTTTCTATGCTGAGAATAATCACTTTTGCTATTTGTCATAAGAAACCAGAAGTTGCCCTCTTCTGAGTCGATACTGATAGCAACTTTCTGGAGTTTCAGAACAGATTTTTCCCAACTGTACTTTGAGAAACCAAAGATTGAACCTATTATCTTCTGCATACGAAACATGTGCTTTAATGCTAAGCTGAGTGTACCTCCCCTATGTTTCACCATCTGATATTTAAAATTATTATGCATAATTTGGATTTTATATTCATGGGTTGGACCAAAAGCTATCCAGGACACTGAGCTCCAGTTTTCATTCACTGAACGCTATGTAATTATCTGTGAAACATTTGAGAGTTCAGCAAACATTAACCATAATTTTTCAATTTGTCCCATATATCTAGAATTCTTTTTTTTTCTTGTTTACAAGTTAAAGATTATGCCCAATTCCACGAAGTTGCATGTTGTACAAAGGCAATTTAGCTATCTCCAGATGGTTTAAATATTTGAGGAATGCTTGGAAACAATCAAATTTAAGAATAGCAGGTGTTGAAAATGTAATATTTATTCTAGTGCCGTCATGTAGAGAAGCACAAGGGTTTAACATGAAATAACAAAGTGGAGATGCACTTCCTAGAAAGCTGTCCTCATTATTGTTCAGCCACATCAAAAGTTAACTTCCTCCACATGGCTCTGTGCATGGTGACTTTGCATAGATGACTTAAATAACAGAAAACTAGATGCTTCTTGAAATTCAAAATTTGAGAAGTTTATTTTTATGTGTGATAATGCCAAATCGTTGTTCTTCTTTAAGAGCTCTGATCTCTTTATTCTTTTCTTTTTTTCCTTTTATAAAACAATGTGTTTGCAAAGCTTCTATTAAAATTAAGAATTGAAATCTGGCCTGTGGGAAGAGGTCCAAAATCCAGAATTATATCTCTGTGGTTCAGTGGTAGAACCCACTCTTGGCATGAGAGAAATCCCAGGGTGAATCACTAACAACTCAGAATAATTTAGTCTTTCCCTTCTGTATAGCTAAAGGAAGATTCTATGGGAGTTAAACAATTTCAGGAAAATGCAAGGGAATCCAGTAAATTCATATAATTTGGTTTTGAAGAAGCATTTGCAAATTTCACTCCTGCCCATCCATTTTTAAATTAATTTCATAGTGAAGGATACTCTGTATATCGAAGAATGCCTTAAAATACTGAAATTGAGGTGGAAACTCTATGATTTTCCAGATGTTAGTGAACAGTTCCCAGTTTTCTCAGCCACCAAGGCTACTGGTTACTGGAAACTACAATTTTTTCCAGCTTCTCCAACCTGACCTAAACTACTGCTCTTTCCAGCATGCAACGTTTGCCAGTTCTTATTTGATAGGTTGAATAGGGTAAGAGCTGTGGTGGTGCAGTGGTTAAAATGCAATATTGCAGGCTCTGCTGCTCACTGCCAGGTGTTCTATCCCGACTGGCTCAAGGTGGACTCGGCCTTCTGACCTTCCAAGGTTGGTAAAATGAGGATCCAGATTGTTGGGAGCGATATGCTGACTCTGTAAACTGCTTGGAGAGGGCTGTAAAGCACTGTGAAGCGGTATATAAATCTATGGCTATTGATAATGGAAACCAGTTGCTCTACTCTCATAGAAACCTTTTATCCTGGCAACCACACTTCTTACAGCTGTTTTTCCCCCCTTCTTTCCAGGGGAATCCCTACATGTGCAATGAGTGTGACGCAACCATTGATGAACTGGCACATCCACCCGAACTGATGTTTGATGCCGAAGGAAGGCATCCCTACACCTTTTGGCAATCAACCACATGGAAAGGTTACCCAAAGCCTCTCCAAGTGAATATTACCCTGTATTGGAACAAAACCGTCGAACTCACGGACAACATAGTCATCACCTTTGAATCCGGCCGTCCAGACCTAATGATCCTGGAGAAGTCCCTCGACTATGGTCGGACATGGCAACCATACCAATATTATGCTACAGATTGTCTAAATGCTTTTAACATGGAACCAAAAACAGTGAGGGATTTATCTCAACAGACAGTCCTAGAAATCATTTGCACAGAAGAATATTCCACGGGGTACATGGCCAACAGTAAGATCCTCCACTTTGAGATTAAGGATAGATTTGCATTTTTTGCTGGGCCTCGGCTTCATAATATGGCTTCTCTCTATGGGCAGCTCGATACAACCAAGAACCTAAGAGATTTCTTTACTGTCACAGACTTGAGGATAAGACTGCTCAGGCCAGCAACTGGGGAATTATATGTGGATCCACAGCACTTGACACGCTACTTTTATGCAATCTCTGACATAAAAGTAGTTGGAAGGTAAGAGAACATAAACAAGTATATATGCGTATTTTCTTTCAGTCACATTAACTTCCTTTTTTACTTCCTTTTCTCTTCCCTTTCTAAATCGAATTATTGAACTATTGTGATTTGCAATGTATACAACCTTTTGCACACACACATACCCACACCCACACATATATATACATACATATGTACATACATACATACATACATACATACATACATACATACATATATGCTATAAAGATAGTCCTCAACTTACAACTACAATTGAGACCAGAATTTCAGGTGTTAAGCAAATCAGTTGTTAAGCAATCACCTTTCTTGCCAAGGTTGTTAAGTGAATTACTTGCAGTTGTTAAATTGATAACACAGTTGTTAAATGAATCTGGCTTCCCCCATTGTCTTTGCTTATCGGAAGCTGGCTGGCTTACATGACTCCAGAATGCTGCAACCGATTGTAAATACCGATTGCTGATTGCCAAGCACCCGAATTTTGATCATGTGACTGTGGGGATGCTGCAACAGTTATAAATTCGAGTACCGACTGTAAGTCACTTTTTCCAATGCCATTGTAACTTCAAACAGTTGTTAAATGAATGGTTGTAAGTTGAGGACCACTTTTAATTTATTGATTTTTAATTCTAATGATAGCAAGTGGAACACCAGTTACAATTACTATACATGAATGAACATTAGGGTATTGTTTTTCTTTCTTAATGGCCGTGTTCTCACAACAGCAATATTTTGGGAGATATTTGACCTTCATACACTACAATAATGGCCAAAGTTTTCCTTCCTTCCTTTTCTCACTTTCTGTATTATATTCTTTTCCTCTTTCTTTTCTTCCTTTCTCACAAATAGGGCACAGGGAAGAAACAGGTCACTTTTGTCAGAATTCTCAAATGATTGCCTGTAGTAGACCTTTGAAATCATGCCTAGGATTGGATGGAGTGATATTCTTTAAAGCTACCTGGTTGCCTTCCCATGATTTACAGCATCAGACACGAGATGTGTGGGTTGATGATTGAGGTTTAGCTTGGCAAGTTCCAATTGCTAAGTGGTTTAGAAGTATTTCTGTATCGAATGAAAAGTAAAAAAAAAAAAAAAAAGGCTATGTTCACAAAGCACACATTAGGGTTAACACATCCAGGGCCATTTCTGGGTGTACATTAAAACTATTATTTTCTAAAGAGCTGGATATAGAATTCTTTATTGGCCAAGTGTGATTGGATACACAAGGAATTTGTCTTTAGTGCATATGCTCTCAGTGTACATAAAAGGGCAAGATACACTCATCAAGAATCACAAGGCATAACAACACCCAGTGACAGTCATAGGGTACAATAAGCAATCGAATCCTACTAGGAAACAATCAATATCAATATAAATCGCTAGGATACAAACAACAAAGTTACAATCACGCAGTCACAAGTGGGAGGAGATGGGCGACATGGAAGATGTATTAGGCAGAGGTAAAAGTAAAGAAGTCTCTGCAGTTTTGTCTGACTCCGTTAGTCATAATTCTAGGGGACAGTGCCCATTTCCATTTCTAGACCATTGAGCCAATGCTGTCCAAAGACATTTTGCCTGGTCATGTGACCAGCATGACATCACACCCACAGCACAGTATGGCAAAACATGGAGTGCTGTTATCTTCCCACTGAAGTGGTACCTATTTATCTACTCATAATTTACATGTTTTCAAATTGCTATGTTAGCAGCAGCTAAGACGAGTGAAGGGAACTCACTCCATCACCTGGTGCTAGGACTCAAACCACTGGAGCACAGATCTTGTTCTGACCTAGGGTTCCTGATATAATAAAAAGCACACAATTAGTCCCAACCCCCCTTTTTTATTTTAGCAGCTGTGAATTCCTTTCATTCACAGCACATGCTGAATCACCAAGAGTTTATAAATAGTCCAACAGAAGTCTACCACAATCCTTCGGATAAGGCTGGTAAACACCCACCTTTATCTTCTTTGACATGCTGCCAGAGACCTAATTGGCAATTATCTTGGCAAGGCCACACGGAAACACAGAGTCAAAAACGGAGCTTCAAAGTACAAACTGACATCATCCACAATGTTGCTTCCTGCAAAGGCCTACATGCCTTTGCTTTTCCTTTATGTCTTATGGGAGGGGCCAATCATCTCCAAGCCTTACTCCCGAGTTGTCCCTTTTGTTTTAACTGTTCTTGCCTTCTGGAAGCTCTGCACATGTGCGCACTAGGAAAAGGCTCCCTCTGTTCCTCTTCCTCTCTGATGTCCGACTCTGGAGGTTCCAGAGTCTGCACATAACTCCCAGATGGCCCTGGTCCCATCTCTGCCTCCCAATGCAGAGCCCTTGTCCGAGCTTTCCCCAGACTCCAGGACTGGCCCATGTTCCTCCTGAGCCTCCTCGCTGTCTGACTCTGCTGCCAGCTCCGCAGGCTGCTGGCGGACCACAACAAATCTTCTCTGGTGGCGTCTTTTAAGCCACTGAGCCCCCATGCCTCTGTATTAGGCAGAAACAGAGGAGAAATGGTGCATTATCTAAGGAGAAGCAGTAGATATCACATCTAATGAAATAAATGCAAAAGAAAGAAATTGTAAATGTCTTTTTTTTTTTAATGGAAGCAGACACAATGTTACTATGAACCGTAGGAAGTTGCCAGAGATTGAAGATTTGTGACAGGATGAAGGGTCCAGTGGTGGGATTCAAATTTTTTTTTACTACCAGTTCTGTGGGCGTGGCTTGGTGGGCATGGCATGGCTCGGTGGGCGTGGCTTGGTGGGCATGGCAGGGGAAGGATACTATAAAATCTCCATTCCCTCCCCACTCCAGGTTACTGCAAAATCCCCATGTCTTCCCGATCAGCTGGGACTCAGGAGGCAGAGAATAGATGGGGGGCAGGCCAGTCAGAGGTGGTATTTACTGGTTCTCTGAACTATTCAAAATATCCGCTACCGGTTCTCCAGAACTGGTCAGAACCTGCTGACCAGAAGTGCTGAATACCACTTCTGTAAGCGTCCATTGTGAAATGTACACAGGCTGCTCAAATGTCTGGGGCTTCTTGATGAAAACTTCCTGGTGGAGTCTTGCCTTTAATGAAGAAAAAATCATTTGGAATGCAAGAGATGATTTTAATTTTTGAAGAGAGCATTTCGTTGAGATTTGGGAGAGCTGTCATTCAAAAGGAATTGCTTGTGGGGTCATGCAACCTTTCATTTTTCTATGCCCAATCATCTATGCCTAATCTATGCTACCTCTGCGCCAATAGAATGGCTTCTAACTCCAGCGCTTGCTCCATCAATGAGCACATGGAAAAATGCATTAGAAAAATAAAAATAGAAATATTATAAAGATGGCAGACATGTTAGGACTGGGCAAACAAATCCTATCCTGTTTACAGCTGTGGTCCTCTTTGTCTCTGCCTTCCTACCTTGCCTTTCTCTTGATAATATTTAGTTACCATCTTTCATTTTATGGATCTCTGGGTTGTGCCAGCAGTTCTAGGCCAGTAAAAATATTCCACAGGTTAGTGTCTACCAATATTCTCCAATTTCTCAATTGGATGATTTTCAATATAGGATTGCATTCCTAAAATAATACAGTAAAGATTTAAAAAAAAATCAGAAGTAAGATTGCTGCTTCTCAATAAGTAGTAATCAACTTATGACTACAACAGGGGCCAGAATTTCCTAAGCAAGACAGTTGCTAGGTGAGCTGTGCCCTATTTTATAACTTTTTATTTTTGCATGGTTGTTAAACAAATCCCTGCATTTTAGTGGATCCCTGCAGTTGTTAAGTTAATCACATGGTCATTAAACAAATCCAGCTTTCCCCATTGACTGTGCTTGTTGGAAGCCAGCTGGGAAGGTCACAGATGACCCCAGGACACTGCTACCATTGTAAATACATGCCAGTTCCCAAGCGCCCAAATTTTGATCAGACAAATGTGGGGATGTTGTGATGGTCATAAATGTGAGGACCAGTCATAAGACACTTTTTTCAGTGACATTGCAACTTTGAACAGTTGCTTACAGTTGGTTGTAAGTCAAGAACTACCTGTAGAATATATGCAAGACATATTGCATGCATGAAATCCATGATTTCATAAGCACCATTGCTTTTCTTTATATGAACTAGGATAACTATGTTAACAGTGTTAAATTTTGAGAAATTATTACCTAAACCAGGGGTGAGTAACTGTGGCCCTTTTACAACCTGTGGACTTCAACTCCCAGAATTCCTGAGCCAGCTTGGCTGACTCAGGAATTCTGGGAGTTGAAGTCCACAGGTTGTAAAAGGGCCACAGTTGCCCACCCCCGACCTAAGCCAAAGGTCAGGACCATACAGCCTGTGGGCACCAAAGTATAAGTGATCCCACTTTAGTGCTTCCAAAGGACTCTAATAAAAATAAAAAATGGATTTTCCTACCTATGATCTTGTGAAATTTGGAAGGGCCGAAATGTCATTGGATTTTCATCAAAACCTTGTAAGATTGTGGCCATGTCAAAAATTATTTTTATTTCGTACCAGAGACCAACTGCGGTACTCATGCAGACACTTCGATGCCTCTAAATCAGGGGTGTCAAACTCACGGCGCCACGTTGTCTTTGCGTGATGTATCGCGACTTTTTCCCCCTTTGCTAAAATGGGAGTGGGTATGGCCAGCGTGTGATGCATCTGGTCCGCAGGCCGCGAGTTTGATACCCCTGCTCTATATCATAGGTTGGAACTATTGGAATAACAGAAACTAAGGCACAAGTACACAAAGTGACTCTATTCAAACATCTTTGTGTAGAACTACGCATGAAAAGATAGGTTGCTTTTTATTTTAAGTCATTTGTGGAACAATGTAATTATGAATCTTTGACAATTACATTTCGCTTCCCTGCTGCAGTGCGTTGACCCAGACACATGCTATCATTTGAAAGCAAATTTGCTGTTTTATTAATCTAGTAAACTTGTTACTTTCCTGATCATTGGTTTTTTTTCATCTAATGAAACTATATGATTCATACTTAA